CTGGTCTCCAAGCTCTCTGGGGACAGCAGCTTGTCAACTTTTCCGTGACCTCCCACAAGGAGGATTTGTAAAATGGTGACCGCTCAAATCAACATTCTACTCCTTTATTTAACAATTGGTCCCTACTATGTGCCATCAACGTGCTGGCCATTTGGGCCCCATTTCTACCACATTGTACAAATGTGCATGTCCTTAAGGAGTGCATACACTAATGATCACTGAATGATTGAAGATCCGTGAATAGAAACAGTAATCGATGGTGCCTGCCTGGAATCTTCGGCTTATTTGATCATTTACAGGTCACGTCTGCCAATGACGTTGTTGCGTGTCTAAGGAGAAGTATTATTTTGCGGATCCGGAGATTGAGACTCAGAGAGGTTATGTGACCTTTTAACATCACTTAGTTAAAAGAAACAGACAGAATCAGTATTTGTAAACAGGTCTTCTGACTACTAGCTTAGTTCTCTTTCTACCACCTATATCACCTTTCCTCACACACAAGAATAAACAGACTATGTGTGTACCGCGTACACCTGCTGTTTTGAAAATTCCAAGTGCCGTGCACAGACCTCGAAGAATTTGCTAGAGTCTGAGTCACAAAGAGCAACACTGGTCCTCTCCCTCCCCGGCCAGGCCCAGACCCCAGACCTACCATGTGGCTGACGCTGGTGAACGGTGTGTTGTCGGTGACGGTTTCAAAGGGAGATCGGGCCCCGTTACCGTCGGTGGGGGCAGCCACCTCCCAGCTGAACTGCACGGACGTCTGGTTGATGCCGGCCTCGCGGCAGCGCTCCTTGGTGACGGCGTACCTGGGGAAGTGAGGGTCACAGGGCGTGACGCAGACCAGCGGGTAGCCTGGGGAGGGGGCCTTCCTGGCTCCTTCCTTGGTGGCCTCTTCCACGTGGTCATAGTCAGCAAGTGTGACCACCTGTGAAACGGCAAAGCTTCAGCTCAGGCTGGGTGTCAGGGAGGTCAGAAAACCACGGCGCCCTCCCCCAGAGACCCACGCGATCTCTCAACACCCAGGGATTCTCTACACTATAACAAGAGAAGTTTTCACAGTTTTTTTGCCAGGCATCCCTAAAAGACACCGCAGCTCTTCAGTGGTGGAGGAGATTCTCCTACTGCCTGGGCTAACGGCTTTGCTATTTTGTTAATCGCGCTCCTAAACCAGAGCACTATCGCTCATGTGAGAACACTTTTATTTTGCTGCACACAGAACGAAGGCTGTAGCATGAACGGCAGCTGCCAGTTTAAAGTTGCATTAAACTGTTAAAGGCAGGAGGTAGTACATTAGACAAAGTAAGAGTAAACAGAGCTGGTGTGTTTCTTCCACGGTCAAAGAGAGACCCGTTTTGAAATAGTCCTTCTCTTCTAATGTACCAGACACTAGTTCGGGGAGGTGGGATGGCTTGTTCTGACTGCTTTCCTATCAGGGTTCAACTTCCCCCGGCAACCTCCAGCCGTTTTCCCTTTAACTATAAAGACGGTGCATTGATTCCGTTCACTCCAAACCAGGAAACACAGGACTCATTTCTGCAGATATTTAGTTGTGTGTGTGGCGTATTCGAGATGAGGCAGAATTACTTTCTCACTCTTCTGGGTCCCACCAAAGAGATGAGATCGGCTGTGTTACTCTCTGTCTTTATCAGACTGAGGTATCCACGTGACTTGGTCTCATTCTTAGGTCAGAGCAGGGTTTCTCACCCTCAGCACTACCGACATCTACGCCAAATAATTCTTTTTGTCGTCGGGGACTGTCTCGTGCATCGTAGACGTTTAGCAGCAACCCTGGCTTCTGCCCAACAAAACCCACTGTGATAGTTGTAACAACCAAAAACGTGTCCAGACGTTGCCAGATGTGCCCCGGATGGGGAGAGCGGGGACAAGATTGCTCGAGGTCGAGAACGTGGTATTAGAAGAACAAACGGTCGAGCTCCGGAAGTCCCACTTCTCTCGGGGTCTCACCTCCTATTCGCGGAGACAAGAGCGGCAACCCTGCAGGCTGAGCGACTCACCACGGGCGGAGCTGGCAGTATGAGGCTCCCCGCGGCCTCCTGGTCCAGGATTGTCACGGTGGCTGTGGTCACATCCCCGAGAACCGCCTCCACGGGGTCGTCCGGGCCAAGGACCAGAGAGAAAGACTCATGCCATTCCCGGTCCTCGTTGGACAGGATCTCCACTTTAAAGAAGACGTGGTCCACACCTTGGCCAAGGACAGAAGGAAAAGAGAACAAAGGCCTCGTGAGGGGGCACAGCCAGGAGGGTGCGGGTCGGCCCCGCCGTCACGTTAAAACACGCCCTTTCTTTTTGGGGGTTTTCTACAGGTGCGGTGGCTCATCGCTTAGCCCATCTCCCGCGAGGAATCTGTTTCACAGACCACATTCCACGTGTGGTAGCTCAGTGCAGACTGACTATTCAGCACCACATGAGGATTAATGGCCCCCGCCTGACACTGGCCGGCAGTAATAAAAATCTATGATCCAAAATACACTTCGCCCTGGTTACGAGTTTTTTTGCTTAATTTTTCTTTCCCCCTTACACTTCATGCGTGAGCTCCTGTTTGGCTGCGGCGCTTGGACGCACAGATATTCTGCAAAGCTACCCCCCGAGGAGCAGCAGCTCAGAGCTGACCTGCCAGGCCCCCCTCCACAAAGACAGTGACGTGGACGGTCAGTGGCCTGGAAGGGGTGAGACCTACTTCCTTTTCTGCAAAATGGTTCTCGGAAGGTAAAGATACTCCTGGTGGAGTTAAGGTCCCTTCCTCCTCTCCCGCAAACATCTGGGCTACGTCCCTACTTCCAGACCTTCCCCCACATCCTTACACAGAAAAGGAACAAAGACAGGTCTTTGCGCAGGTGTGGAGGAAGGGCATCTCCCATTCTAGGAAACATCAGCCAAACACACACAGGATTCAGCTGAAAGCCCTTTAAAGTGGGGCAGGAAAAATATACAGAGAGCCCCACCCCCAGCCCCCATCATTTCGGAGGGAGTCACTTTCTCCCTGCACTGCCAAGACCTCTCTGAGCAGTCCTGACACCGTTGCCCACCTCTGGCTACTTTGCAAATGGTGCCAGGGTCTACACCAGCCTTTTCACTTTACACTGCACTCCAGAAAGTTCTGAGCACACAATTTAACCCCTTTTCCTGTCTCACTCCCCCCATCAAATTAATACATTAAATAGTTAGGTAGCGAGTTGTGGCTGGAATCCCATCTCTCTTTTCCCTGACTCATCTCCGTATCCCTCTCTGAGATAAAGCTTTTGTGGAAAGCCCGTAACGGGGTATCCTGTGTCCCAGGAGATGTTAAACCACCTGTGCACAGAGACTGTGCCTTCCAGATTTAGTAATCCCCGGAGGACCCAGCACGGGGCTTTGCACAATGTTTGCTGAATGCCAGAGGTCACGTGTATCTTTTCTTTTCAACTATCAACTCAATTAAATTTTAGGCTGACAAAAAATCCTTTTAAGTGAACCAAAATGCCTACAATGTTCTGAAGCAAGGGACCTATTTTTTCCCTGCCATTTTTACTGATTAAAAATTTTACCTTCGATCTCAAATGTGTGCTTAACAAATGCTTTATGCTCTTGGAACTACTGCTTTCCTTTTCTGTTTCTCTGCTCACTCCTCTCTTCAAATACAAGACATCCGCCTCTCTACTAAACAGAACCCGCAGACTGGGGCTGGCGTTCATTTACCAGGACTGAACTTCAAGACCCGGCTCTTTGGGTAATAATCCACGCCGGACTGGGCAGACCCGTCCCGCGTGCTGCAGCGGATCTTGGAGGTCCTGTTCTGATCCCCTCTGCGGATCACCTTGATGTTGAGAACTGCGACCGCATCCGGCCCGGCAGGTTCCCGAACTTGGTACGCAGCTTCTTCGAATTCAATGGTGGGCGCTAAGGAAACACGGTCAGGAAAACCAGAGAGAGTTAGAATGGCCCAAAGGATCCAGACTCCCAGGAAAACACCTTATTATGGAAAGAGGGAAGTGTTCACATCAGTTAACAGCACAGAGGCAAAATGGCTTGCAGCTGTAAAACTCAATCAGTGTTTACCACCAAGCAGTGTTTTGGAAAAATAAATCTATTTGTGATCCCGTAGGAGTTATTTCTCACATGTTCCTTATGAAAAGCAATATAACGGGGAATATATTTTCAGAGACTTTGAAATGCATGATGTCCAAGTTCCCATCTTGGCATTTAGTTCGCTGAAGGTTTTAAAATTTTGTACAACATATCGAGGTCCTGAGACATAGCAGGCCTTTGACGAATATCTATCACATCAATTAACTTTTTATTTATGAGATGGGAACTTCTAAGGCTTATAATTTAACTCATTTACATACTACTTAAATTGACCCCGACCCTCTCTCATCTCTGGTCTTTTGGACACTCCTGCCCAGTGCTCTCACCCCTCCATCCTCAGCTTTTTCTGACTTCTCACCAGCTGTACAACCAAGTACGGCCACGTTCAGTGACTGGCTACAAGGATAATTCAGGAACACAAGCCTTCCTAATGCAATCTGATTCGAGGTACTATACTCATTGCTAGGAAGTTTTTTTTCAATTTTTATTTCAGGATATTATGA